GTGCCTATGGTGTACTAACAACATAGTTGTGCAGTAATGTTTTTTGAAGCTTATTTTAAACTCCCCCTTTTGGCCCAGTGGTTAAGAGCATGGGCTCTGGAATCAGGAATCCTGGGTTTTAATTCTGGCCCAATCACTTGCAATGGGACCTTGGGCAAGTTACCTAATCCCTCTATGCCTCAGTTTCTTCAACTTCAAAATAGGAATAATAATAATGGTACTTCATACATTTGTTGTGACTAATAATGAAGTGAAATTGTAAGTACACACACATGCATGTATATAACTTAAGAGTGCATGGAGAAAGCTCTTGAAATGTAAACTTATTATTAGTTTTATTCAGTTAGATCCAATTTGTTCATGTATACTTACCATTCTATGATACTTATCATAATTGCCTTACACTTGTAGGTAATTACAAGGGTGTATTTAGGGATGACTCATCACAGATTTGTATACCCTTCTCAATAATGCCCTCATTTACAAGTGAGAAGGAGATTACCACTGTAGGAATATCATATAGTCAGTCTGTGAGTGAGGGACCAAATCCTCACAGTACATTAGGGTGGCCTTTAAACCTGCTTAAGGTACAATCTCCTTCACATTCTAAAGCGTAGCCCTAAGTTTAGCCAGAACTTCATCAATTACAATATATTCCTGGATCAGGAGCTCTTTCTTCATTTCCCCTTTCCTTAACTACTGCACTTTTCAATCTAATTCAGCTACTGTTTACTGAACAGGTGTTTAGCCATGTGCTTATTGCTTGAAGGCATTTGCCAGAGTAGCAGGAGAGTCACTGTTTGGAAACTTGTCTATGTCATTCTCTTAGTTAAAAATTTTTTTGAAAAAGTGTTCCTACTTTCATTATGAATAAAAAGTGTGGTAAAGGTGATTTTAAAATATTCGTATTATTTATAATTGAAATATTCTATAATAATATACATAAAATTAAAGAGCCCAGTAAATTGTGTGTGTGTATGTTTGTGTGTGTACTATGCTCTTCAATTTGTTAATTATACTTTAGTTGGTTTTGAACAAAGTCTCAAATATACTCCTTCAAGCAATCCTGTGGCTATAAAACAAAAGCAGAACAACTATGTCTTTTTTTTTTTAATCTCTTATTCTAAAAAGATGAGAGAGAATCTGTAACCAAGGGTGACAAGGTGGATCCCAAAGAGGCTCACTATACCAGAAGCCCTTAAGTGAAGTTTTTCTTTTGTATTAAACACTAGAGGCCCAGTACACGAAATTTGTGCGGGGGGAGGGAAGGTCCCCTCAGCCCAACCTGCACTCTCTCCAATCCAGGACCCCTTGGGAGGATGTCTGACTGCTGGTTTAGGCCCGATCCCGGGGATTGGGCCTAAACCAGCAGTCTGACATCCCTCTCACAATCCTGGACTGCTGGCTCCTAATTGCCTGCCTGCCTGCCTGTCACCCCTAACTGCCCCCCCTGCTGGCCTGATCACCCCTCACTGCCTCTGCGTGCCAGCCTGACTGCCCCTAGCTGCCCCTCCTTCCGGCCTAGTTGCTCTTAACTTCCCCCCGCTGTCGACCAGGTCACCCCCAACTGCCCCCTCACTGTTGGCCTGGTCGCTCCTAACTGCCCCTCCCTGCCGGTCTGGTTGCCCCCAACAGCCCCCCTGCCAGCCTGGTCACCCCATACAGCCTGCTGTTCAGTCATTTGGTCGTCCCTCACTAACTCCCCTGCCGGCCTGGTCGTAGGCAGCCATCTTGTGAGGGTGTGAGGGTCAATTTGCATATCACCTCTTTATTGTATAGGATAATTAAACATTTAAATTAAACATGATATGTACATTCTATTACATAGAATACATACCTTGTATTAATACAGAGGATGTGGCAAAAGTAGGCTTATAGCTGTGAGTACATGAAATGCAGTTTATCCTTGTATTATTATTTATTGTATTATTTTCCATAAGAACAACTATAAACCTACTTTTGCCCCACCCTGTATGTGTAATGCTGTTTTCCTCCTCTGAGTCTTTGCTCAGTTGACACTATGAGAAAACATGTCTCATCTGTGCTCCTGGAGGGCCTCCTGAAAAGCCTCACCAGTTTGGAATTAATAGTTTTATTTTACAACAAGGGCATTGAAGTCAGCTTGTCTAATGTTTCTTAGAATTGAATAAAAAATGATAGTTTGTTTTTCTGGGATGATGGGCCTGGGGAAGACAGAGTTTAGGAAAAAAAAATAAAAGGAAAGGTTCTAAGGATTTGTAGCCATTAAAACAGTGGTGTTGTTGAAAGGAAGAGCTGAGTATTCAGATGTGTGGGAATGCTGGCATGGTGACAGTGGGGCATCCAAGAGTAGCTTTCTATGGGACATTTCGATGAGGGAATATTTCTTGGGTGAGGAGGAATCTAAAAGTACAGATCTGATGGTCATTTGTAGAAGCTGAAGCAATAGAAAATAAGATTTCTTAGAATGAGAAATTCTGAATGTCACTGAATCTTCAGTGGACAGAGGAAATAGAATCATTGGCAGAGGAAAAAAATCACTTGTAGAAGATAGAAGAGGGGAAAAACCAGGCCATTCACTGAAACAAAGAACAATGATAACAGAGTTTTGCCACCACTTGTAATTTACTTTAGAAGCATCAGAACAGGTTATCAAATAAAAGGGAACATTACGATGTAGGAAAAGAAACATAAAATTTTATTATGTGGAGAGTTCACAGGAGGACATGAATCCAATCCACCCATTATATTAGCAAACTCATCTGTACTAATAAAAGCCTATGTGGTCATTATGCCCTCGCGTCGTGATGCCCTCACACTATAACAATCCATCACCAGGAGGCTGCATGTGCAGCGAGCATTTGTACATGAGTGAATGGGGTTGCGTGCAAGCGGAGCCGTGGAGGCGGGTCCCGGTGGGTCCCGGCGGCTCCAGCTCTGCACAGCAAGGCCGAGGGTTCCCTGGCGAGGGGTCCCCTGGCTCCGGCCTACCTCTTTGGGGCAATCCATCCAGGAGCCCCACATGGGTGGGCGGGGCCTACCTCTTTGGGGAGATAGATTGCAGAGTTCCCACACTGTGAGAGGGCACAGGCCAGCCTGGGGAACCTCCCCCTCCCAGTGCACAGTTTTGTGCACCAGTCCTCTAGTATAATAATAAAAAGGAAAAGAGTCCTAGAAAGATAAAGTCAAAGTTCACTCACTGAGTTACTTTGGAACAGAACTGTTTTGTTATCTTGGCTTTGTAATCTAATGTCCTTTGTGCTCCCGTATATTGCAACCCAGTCTCCTACGGCAGGCAAAGTATTCCAGGTAAATTACTGGCAATAAAACTTTTGGGAAGGTAGGTATTTGCAATTCAACAATGAATGTAGCTGGGATAAGATTTAAATTCATAAAGCAAAAGGGCTGAGTGTTTCCATGGCGATCCTTTGAATTTGTTACTTAAAAGCTGTGCCACAGGTATGGCTCCTATCTAAACATATTGCTGTGTTTTATTCTAAGAAAATATAATGGTACTCGATTAGTAACTGATAGAGGGGGAACTGACTACAGAAGAAGAATAAAAAGAGAACGACTGTGGAAAGTTGGAGGGAGAAGATAAGCCATCTCCTAAACCTTCAGCTTCTCACACAGGAAACATGGTTTCCTAAAATGACCACAGAACATTTCCATTGTATATACGTGATGGAGGATTTGGAAATTTGGTGGTAAAAGGCTCATCCACAGTCCACACTGTAAAGCATCATTACATCAAACCATCTCAACCAAGAAGCATCGCCATAAAAAAGAAAGCAAAACAAGGAAGAATGCATCCTACTCCTAAGGAAGAATCCTGACCCTAAAGAAGATAAATGATTCCCCTTCACAATAAACAGTTAGCTCATCTTAGTGGGCTGACACAGAGGCAGGTCTATCACAGAGATGCTAGCTAATCTAGCTTTGTCTAAAACTGTGGTTTTCAGAAAGACAAAACCTCTGTTTAGATAAGTAGGTGTATTATTAGTTCAATTTTTAAATGGCTCAAACTTTCCTATCTCTAATTTATGTGTGAATCTGTCCAGTAGCATGCATAATTTTCAACAAGTACTTTCCAGGATGCTAAGTCAACCATAAAAAGGAGTTCATGAAAGTTTTTTTCATATAAGTAAACTTTGTGGACAACACTTTTGATGTTAAGGAACAAAAAATGGTACCGATGTTTATAACAGGAGAGACGGGTGCTGAGAATTGAAATCACTTCAATATTTATCTTACCTTTCGTTTTCCATAGTACTGACTGAGCATAGCAATGAATTGTTAGTATGTCTAACCAAATGTTATATAATCTTAGGCAGTTTTTTCTATTTTATAATACAGAAATAACCATCTTCCTGTTTACTTTTTTCCTAAATACCTTGAGGACAGAAAGCTTTTAAGATTTATAAGCAGTAGAAAAACATTTGAAACTCAATTTGTATTAAAACATTATTCTTTGTACAAATCCGCTGACCCATTTTTCTAAAGTAAAGATAACTGCAGGGTTTTCACTTGCATTGAAAATTTAACAATTACAGTTCAATTTTTATGTTCATACAGTGCCATAAAAACTGTATTTCAAGTTGCACAACTGACCTTCTTTTCTATAAAAATATAGATAGGGCCTAAATTATAAGTAATTGTATTGCGGAACATTTTGAAAAGGAAAATCCTGTTGCTTTTCTTGCATATAAATCAATTTGGATCTTAAACACTTCTTTGCATTTCCTTGCATATTTATAAACATGACCTTAACTTTCCTTTAATTTAAAGAAACATATCTGACCACATGACAGGTTGACAATTATACTTGCTTAGACAACTGTATAGAAAAAAAACAAACAAAACACATACATGTAACATATTTTCAGAGACAGAAAAAGAAACTTCCTTTGCAAAGAAGAATCACTATACTCTACGAGCCCATCACAATCCACAGCACGAAGATCCATTCTGGTCTCTCCAGCAAGACCTTGAGATGCTTAAGCTGCATTCGCTTCACTCACCTGTTTGGCTTAGTTGGGATGTGCTTCTACTCCGTCGAGACACTATGGCGACCACCTTGGCGCTCAGGCTGGACCTCCGTTTCTTCCCACCTGCTCCTACGGTCCCCACGGCTGTGTCCGACTGGCTGCCATCATTATGCTCCAGTGTGTACATCTCTCCACTCACACTGGTGCTCTTCGTGATGGCTCTTCCTGAAGTCCCCATCCGTCTGCCTTGCATTTTAGGGGTAAATGAACTATATTTACAAAGTAAAAACATATATGCATCCATAAATTACAGGTCAGCATTATCGAAACTCTAAATCTAATTTATTTTGAAATAATCCAGGCACATTTTCAGGGGCCAAGCCAGTTGAGCAGTAGTCCTACAGGTAGGCATCCTTTAAGATCACATCACTGCCCCCAAATATTTACTAAATGTAGCTTAAAACAGTATAACAGAAGAAGCTATAAACTTTTCAAAAGAGAGTACAAAGAAATGCAACCATAGTATCTATGTTAGATAAGTGCTACTGACCAATTTTGTAAATAGTTGCTATTTATTTTAAGTTAATACTATTTACTATTAACTATTTAAATCAACCCAGCATGTTTTTATACATTGCTGAGGAAAAAAATTTGTTAAAAATGGACACTGAATTTGCCACATGACAAGGTTTAAAAAATGAAAATAGTATCTGTTCTAGTTTTCCTTTGGGATTCCAACGAGCAGAATCTCTTTGCTAGTTGAGGCTTAATGAGTCCAGGAAAGACTGCAAACGAGGCAAAAGATTGCATTTCCCTTTTCCTTCCTCGTCCCCTGATGCTCCATCTCCTCCACACAAACTTCATCTCATTTTTCGATTTTCGCCCCTCAAATCCACATGCTCTAGCTGAGACTTTCCTTTTTGTTGTTCTTTTCTATCAAACTTTAATTGTCTATGTCCCCAGTCTGTACTAGTTTATTTGAATTATATTACTGTACTTTTCTCCCAGATGAATAAATTATGGTTGAGAATTTCAGGAACCATGGAAGGTCAGTGGGAAAAATAAACAAAAAATCCTCTCTACCTGCCAAAGTTAATGTATGCTTCTGAGTTGGAGAGAGGTAGTGCAGCAAAGTGGGGAGCCAAGGATGTTAGGATACTTTGAACCTTACAGATTAATGTTGCATCTGCAGCGCTTATTCATCTAGCCTGGCCTTTTTGGTTCAATAAAGAGGGAGGTGGGTAAGAGATCAACCAAAGGACTTGTATGCATGCATATAAGCATAACCAATGGACATAAGACACTGGGGGATAGGGGAGGCTAGGGGACTGTCAAGGGCCGGGGGGGGGGGAGGACACATATGTAATACCCTTTGTAATACTTTAAGCAATAAAAAAAAACAAAAAACAAAAAAAACCCCCAAAAACGGCAACAACAAAAAAGACCTGGCTTGATATATTTGAAAGGACCCCTCTTAATTTTATGCTATCTCAAAATATTTTCAAACATTGGTTTACACAACCCTTGCCCACCATATCAATTTTTTATTTCCTGACTTGATCAACAAAACAAATCATGATGTAATGTAACATTTTCACAGAGATACAATTTAATAGGTTGAAATAAATACTAATGTGATTAGAAATGATAAAACAAAGTTTTACCTTGGGATCATGTAACATATTTGTGGTCACATATATAATGAGTGTTTAAGTAGAAAGAGAAATTGGTGTGGGCTGAGTTCAGAAAGGTGGAAGGGCAATACTACTGTGAAATGTACAATGTTCTTTAGGTTATAGAGAAGCTTAAAAGTAGAGAAAAATGTCTCCTATAATATTTATATCATGAACATTTATTCAAAACGAGGTAGGAAGATTAAAAAAATTTATATGGATATTTAACCATAGCAGTGAAATGTTCTGCAATGTTGACAAGTAAAAATCCTGAACAACAAAAAAGGGAAATCTCTGTATAGTAAGAGATTACCGTTCTTAGGGGGAGCGGGGAGGGAGTTGAATTAAGAAGTTATATTAAAATGATTTTGTGAATAAACAAGATACATTTTTTTTTCCTCAAAAAATAAAAAACTTTGTTTAAAAGAATTCTTATATGTCTTATATGATCCAAGGACAGTACAGATGCAATCAAATAAATAATTTGTACACAGAAACATAAAAATATTTTGGGCATAAAAATAAAACATAAAAACATTTTAAATAAAATATTTAGTTAAAAATTTTAGAAGGAAATAATGCTTGACAGTGTATTAAAAATGAGGGTGAATCTCTTCGCAGTGATTTGATAAATTATTATAATTTCATATTATTACACTAGAGGCCCCGTGCACGGATTCGTGCACCGGTGGTGTCTGTTGGCCTGGCCTGCGCCCTCTCACAATCTGGGACCCCTCGGGGGATGTTGGACTGCTGGTTTCGGCCCAAACCCCACAGGACAGGCCAAGGGACCCGACTGCATATAAGATCTTTGGTAAATCTCTTCCTTCCCTCCCCCTACCCTCTTTCCCTCTGAGATTCATCAGTCTGTTCCATGTTTCCATGCTTGTGTGTTGAGCAGCGGTTCTCAACTTGTGGGTCACGACCATGAGAAAACACATATAGCATATCAGATGTTTACATTACGATTCATAACAGTAGCAAAATTACAGTTATGAAGTAGCAATGAAAATAATTTTATGGTTGGGGGTCACCACAACATGAGGAACTGTATTAAAGGGTCGCAGCATTAGGAAGGTTGAGAACCAATGGTCGAGTGTCTGCCCCCTGGTGGTCAGTGCATGTCATATTTACTGGTGAAACAGTCACTTAGGCTATATATATATATATATATATATATATATATATATATAGACTAGAGGCCCAGTGCACAAAAATTTGTGCACTCGGGGGGGGGGGAGGGGAATCCTTCAGCCCGGCCTGTGCCCTCTCGCAGCCTGGGACCCCTCAGGGGATGACCACCTGCTGGCTTAGGCCCGCTCCCCAGAGGATTGGGCCTAAGATGGCAATCAGACATCCCTCTGGCAGCCCAGCAGCCCTCGGGGGATGTCCACTTGCCAGCGGGGAGCAGGCCTAAACTGAAGTCGGACATCTTTAGCGCTGCTGAGGAGGCAGGAGAGGCTCCCACCACCACCACTGTACTGGCAGCCATCAGCCTGGCTTGTGGCTGAGCAGAGCTCCTCCCATGTGAGAGTGCCCTGACCACCAGAGGGCAGCTTCTGCATTGAGCGTCTGCCCCCTGGTGGTCAGTGTGTGTCATAGTGACCAGTCATTCCCAGTTGTTCTGCTGTTAGGGTCAGTTTGCATATTACCCTTTTACTATATAGGATAGAGGCCTGGTACATGGGTGGGGGCCGGCTGGTTTGCCCTGAAGGGTGTCCCGGATCAGGGTGGGGGTCCCGCTTGGGTGCCTGGCCAGCCTGGATGAGGGGCTGATGGCTGTTTGCAGCTGGTCGCACCCCCTTCAGGGTGTGGGTCCCCACTGGGGTGCCTGGCCAGTCTGGGTGAGGGGCTGAGGGCCGTTTTCAGGCTGGAGGGTGACTGAAGCTCCCAACCTCTCCTTTTTTACTTTTTTCTTTTTTTATTCTGGGATTTATTTACCTTCTATGGCTGTCACTGGAGCTGAGATCTGGCTTTAGCTCTGAGGCTCGGCTCCAGCTCTGAAACCTCAGCTACTGAAAGCAGGTATCTGGTTTGTTTGGCTTCTATAATTGAAACACTGTTGCAGCTCCAGCTCTGAGGATGATGGCTGGCTAAAAGCAGTTTCTGGGGTTTGTTTAGCTTCTATAATTGCAACATTGTTTCTTAGAGTGCAAGCCCAGAGCCCAGCAGTGGCAGGCAGGGAACCTTGGCTCTCTCTTTCACTGGAGCAAGCAAGCCTCCTGTTCGCTTCAGCTGCCTGGCTGCCGGCCGCCATCTTGGTTGGCAGTTAATTTGCATATCGCCCTGATTAGCCAATGGGAAGGGTAGCGAAGTTATGGTTAATTACCATGTTTGTCTATTATTAGATAGGGTGGTAGTTTCCAAAGGGTACATTTCCATGAACTCTGACTAGTGCCAACTACCAGAATGTCAGTCAACCACATACCCCTCTAAAGAATACCAAGAAGATGCAGAATTCAAGAAGTAACCAAATACTATGGAGAACTTTGCCCATAAGAATGTTCTTTCCTAAGGCACTTTGATCATACCTCTTCAGAGAATTCTTGAGTCTGGATACTGTCACTTCCTCACTATCATTTTCAGTTGTAATATAACACCTCTTTATATGTGCCTACTCCAGTAATAAATTTATAGATCTATTTTGACCTGCCACTCCCATCAGCTTCGAGTCTCCCTTTCCAAGTTTCTCTCCACACCGTTAGGTCCCACCTAGGATTGAGTATCAGTTGCTGCTGTTTTTATTACTGCACCACACTGGACACATCTGCTGAATGGCTCTGGGCAGCCTACACTTGGCTCGGCTTTGGTTCCAATGAAGGCTGGGTGATCTCTCACACTAGTCAGGAATTTTGAGGGAGAGGCTTTCTTGGGTACTTTCTTGAACATATGATAAACAACTGGGTACAAAAACTAATTTACATTCATAAATTTCTCTGCACTACCCATTGTACTGTTAGGGCTTCAAAGAAATAGGTACTATTTCCCACAGGAATACCTCAGAGAGGTGCAGGACTCAGTATTAGTGTTTAAATTTATTCTTCTTTCCAAGGTGGTTGACCAAGCATCAGAGAGGAAGTACAGGGCCTTACTCCTTGGAAAAAGGACAGCCGGGGACATAACTCATTTTCTTTCATTTGTTAGACTGAATTGAAAAATTGATAGAATTGAAGTGCTTCAAGTTAATGGTATAAGTATAATTAGTTGCAAAAGTAAATTTTGTTTGATATAAAACTAATTAATTTAATCATATAAACATTACTTACATTATAATGCTTATTAAGCACTAGCTGTATGTCCAGCAATGTGCCAAATTTTGTAGGAAGTATAATTTGAAAATGTAAACAAGAAAATATAACATGGAATTATAAAATATAAACCAAAAAATAATTACTCTACACATAATAAGAGAGATTTTTGAAAATCTGAAAAATGATCTCAGAGTATGATCAGTCAGGAAGGCAAGAGTTTTATGATCACAGATGATGCCAAATCAGTCAGACTTCACAGAGAAAGACATGATTCCACCTGAACGCCAGAGGGACTATTTCACAAATTCTCTCTGGAGCCTAGAGTTTGTCTTATTTATTTCTTAT